GATCAAACCAGATGCCTAGCCAGCGCGTAGCACTGCTAGCAGGGGGAGGTGTGACAATATGCAAGCCTTGGGGGGTGTGCATGGAGCATGTGGGGTTAGAAAGGTTGGACCCACGGGTGAAGTGTTGCAGTTCTGTCTTGTTGAAGTCAAAGGTGAGGCCTTCTCTAGCTCCCCATTGTCTGAGCTCCTCAATACAGTGCTGAAGTGCTATACAGTTTTCCTCTAAGGAAGGGGAGGCCACAAGTTGGCAAATATCATCAGCATACCCAAAGCAGCCGCGTCGGGTGCGAAATGAGCCCTGTTTGAAAATGGGTTCAATGAATAGCATGAAGAGGATCGGGGAGATAGGGGAGCCCTGTGGAAGACCTGCTGGAACCTGGAATGTCCGGCTTGTATGGTTCCCTAAGCGGAGACTGGCTGTTCGACCTTGGGTAAAGCTAGCTACCCATCAGATCACATTGATAGGCCATCCCTGTTCCTGGAGCCGTTGGATCAGTCGTCCACGCAGGACAGCATCAAAAGCGCCTTGCACGTCCAATGTCAGCATGGAGGCTTTCAGCCCTCGTGACCATGCCTCCTCAACATCATGGATCAAAGCTGCGGCTAGGTCCGTAGCAGAACACAGTGGGAGAGCTCCGAATTGCTGAGGGTGGAGGACTTTGTATTTGATAGCAATCCATGCTATTCTGCGGGCTATTAGGCGCTCGAGGCCTTTTCCCAGAACTGACAGGAGAGAGATTAGTCTGTAAGCTCAGGGGGAGCTCCGGTCTCTCTTTCCTGGTTTTGGTAGGGCCACGAGTGAAGCATCTCGGAATGGGGTAGGATGCCAGCCTTGGTCTAGGCAGTGTTGGTACAGTGTCGAGATAGCAGGGCCTAGAGAGAGCCATGCCTTCCTTAGGGTGGAAGTGTTTATACCATCATTTCCTGGAGTGCTGTTCTTTGGTTTGGCAACTGCAGTGTAGATCTCTTTCTCTGTGATGGCAGGGAAAGGCAGTTTGGGATCATTGATAGGCTCCAAATTGATATCCACATCCTCTGCGCACGAGGCCTTTTGTAGGAGTGCATGGACTAAGTAGTTTGCCTTGTCATCTGTAGAGGAATGAAGTCGGTCTCCTTCTCTTAGAGGGGAGATAGGTAAGGTTCCTTCAGTTCTGTTCCACTTTACTGCATTGAATACATCCTTGGGTTCTTCAAAGCCTTCAACCTTTGAGCGCCAGAAGTGGCGTTTGCTGTGTTGAACAACACGGCGGAGGACCTGTTTAGCATCCCTAATGTCCTCCAAAGTGGATGATGGGTCCCGTGTTACCCTGCGGAGTGTCTTGACCACTCTGGTGCAGTCCTGGTTCCACCATTTGTGGCCACAGGGCCGGGGATATACTCGTTTGGTTGAGGCCTCTAGAGAGGTGGAGATGGCCTGGGTGATACTAAGTGCAAGCTCATCAAGTTGGGCGGGAGGGGGGCAAGGGGGAAGAGAGGAGGCTATGTGATCCACATGCCTCTTCTCCCCTTGTATTGTTTTCTGGAACAACTCGTCGTCGAGGGTAGCCCAGCGGAAAGGTGGAGTATCCCAGGGAAGGTTATTCATGCCCCATTGGATGGTTGTGAGGATGGGTTCATGGTCTGCAAGGGGTGGGAGGTCTGCGGCAACTTCTGAGGAAATTCCAAGGCTGAGTAGAGCGTTATTGGCCCAAGCTAGGTCTATCATTTTTGACCTCGAGTTGGCGAGTCTGGTGGGAGTGTTAGGGTGAGGTTATGGGTATCTGTCCAAGATAGAAAGGGTTCTGCCCTTGGAGAGGGTCGGGCAGAGGATTGCCATATGGGGTGTTGAAGATTAAAGTCTCCAGCTACTAGGCTGGGGAGAGATGGGGGAGTCTGTGACATGAGAGACTCCAAACCTTGGCCCTCATCGACTGCTCCGCGGGGGGCATTGTAGATGTTGACCAGTACTGCAGTCTTCTGGGGGGTGTTGATTTGGACGGCTAGGATATCCCTGGATGGCAGTCCAAAAGGAACCAGTTCAGCTTTCAGGTGTGGGTGTCTTCGTATGTATGTAAGGACTCGAGGTCTAGCTGGCCAGTCTTCAATCGGGGCGAGTTGGTGGAAGGATGGATGGTGTTTAGATATTCGACAGGAGCAGTCTGTAAAGATCCAGGGCTCCTGAATTAGTACTGCATGACAGTTGTTTTCAAAAGCTAATTGAAGCGCAGTTTCATGCGCTTCCCAGTTACAGCCAACATTGAGTTGGAGGATCTGTAGATGAGATAGTCTGTCTAGCATGTATGAGACTGTTCTCTTGTAGCTGAGGGGCCCGGGCTTCCAGAGGGCTCATTTGTGTTGGTCAGGTCTTTTTGCATATGTTGACGTGCGCCTGCTTTCCTGACTGCCACATACTGTGACTTGGAGAGCCGCTGGATGGTTCCTTGATGTACAGTAGGTCAGGTTGGACAGTTGGAGTGGTCTGCTGGGAATGGTCCACAGCAATTGGTACAGCAGGGGTCTGAGCTCCCCTCATCCTCAGGAGAAGGATGGGTCTCTTCAATATGGTCCCTCTTGCTGCAGATTCGGCACCTGGGTGTTCGAGTACAGGACCACAGGTTATGATAGTCCCAACATTGTGTACATTGCTCTATACGAGCTTGGAGAGGTTTGTGTTTGATTTGTACATTTTTGCCAAAAAAATTGATCCATTTAGGGACAGCTCGGGCCTGATACTCGGGGACAGCCATAATGAGAGTACTAGACAGTGGGTTTTTATTCGAGAAGTAGAACTTCAAGGGGGATAGGTCTGACTGTAGCTTGAATTCAACCAAGGCCATCTGCTCGTTTATGGGCTCTTGAGTCCCATCAAAACTAGTATACTGTCGTGGCGCGTTTGGCAGGACAAAGATGGCCCATTTCTGTTCCATTTCCACTTTGGAACCTTGTAGTAGACACTCCAGGGTCTCCCTACGTTCCATGAGGAGCTGGAGACCCAAACCATCCTTAGGCCAGATAGCCAGGCCAGAGGGCACTTGTTGGACCTCTTTTACAGCTGCAGAACAGGTCTTGTCTAAATGTTTTCTTAGTGTATCCATAGTGGCATAAGGGCTAGCTCGGCGGGCTGCATGATCTTTGGGGAGGCAGAGGAAGATTCGGGGGGGCTTCTCCAGTTGTGGTGACTTGTGGGGAGTCTCATGTAGTTTTGGTTGAGTCTTGGGGATGTTAGCTGGGACTTTTTTAGCAGCTTCGGCATAGCCTCTGTGCACAGAGGGAGAGGACTGGTGGTTCTCTTCTCCTTTGGTGGTGTCCCCAGACGCCAAGTTCTTGCTGAAATTGAGGACCAGGGTCCTAAAGTCTTTGCCCAAGGCTGCTGCACTCCTAAGGCCTTTTTCTTCCCAACCGGAGACTTTCTGACTGATCATAGACACAAGGTCCAGGACCTCATTTCCTGTAGTTTTTATCTCTGCTGTGCGGGATGCTACCGCTGCTGCAATGTGGCTTCGGAGCTCGAGGCCCAATTGACTCTGGGGGGTTTCATGGGAGGGGGATGCTGGGGGCGTGCCCTGAACAGACTGGCCAGGTAATTGCCAGTTCCCGAGGATAGGAGCAGGTTGAGTGGTCCCCTTTGGTGTTTCTTGCCTCGGTCGTTTGGGCGGTCGCTTCGGGATGGTGGGCTCCCAGGGGGAAGCAGTCGGGGGATTCGCGGGCGCTCGGGGCTTCCCCCATACTGATATCAGGCATGGGATTGGCGATTGCAATGCTTCTGTACTCGGTGGCTGGCGTGGAATTCGTGAGCAGATACTCACGAATTTTGGCGCTGAGGAAGATGTAATAATGCAGGAAGGACAGGGATCACAGGTGGTAGTTAACAGGCGCATCACGTGATCAACTACCATAATCACTACCATCAGAATGGTAATCCATATGGTATAACGTAATCTATCACCGAGAGGCGCATATCACCGAAAGGCGCGGTCGGCGGCGGTTTCCACTGAAGATTACACCCATATTTTCAAACCTACTTTTCACCAAATTATCCATCATGAATGAGCTTTCTAAAGAAGAGCGGATGAAATTAGCTATTGATGCTTTTAATCAAGGCCAGTTTCAATCTAAGACTGCCTGTGCACAAGCATTTGATGTGCCATCAAGAACCTTAATGAAACGCCTGAATGGAGTCCGCTCCCGCAATGAATCCACTGCAAATGGCCGGAAATTATCAGAACTTGAAGAAGATACACTATCTAGATGGATTCTAGATATGTATGAGCGTGGCCTACCTCTCCAAATATCAAATGTCCATCATCTTGCCCAATTACTCCTATCCGCACGTCTAAAATCGTCCGAGAAAGCGACCATTGGTGAGCTATGGGTTAACCGGTATATTAAACGCCGTCCTGAGCTCAAATCTAAATATACCCGCCGATATGACTACCAACGTGCCAAAGGCGAGGATCCTGAGTTGATAAACGGCTGGTTTGATCGCGTTCGAGAGACCATCGAAAGATATGGCATTCTGGAGCAGGATATATACAATATGGATGAATCTGGCTTTCAAATGGGAGTAACATCAACTGCAAAGGTCATCTGTGGCTCAGAGACTAGAGATAGCCATGTCAAATCTATCCAGCCTGGAAATCGCGAGTGGACTACTATAATAATCACCATAAATGCCTCCGGATCTGCTCTACCTCCGCAGATTATCCTGGCCGGGAAAAGGCATCAATCTCAGTGGTATTCAGCTATTCCAAAGGAATACAGAATTAGCATGAGTGATAATGGCTGGACAAATGATAATTTGGGATTTGAATGGCTTCAGGAGATGTTTGAGAAGCATACTGCCTCTCAGACTGCTGGCAGATATCGCCTTTTGATTCTTGATGGCCATAGCAGCCATGCAACTGCAAGTTTCGATCATTTCTGCACTGAGAGGAAGATTATTCCATTATATATGCCTCCTCATTCATCTCATCTACTTCAACCACTTGATATAAGTTGCTTTGGGCCGCTCAAGCACTACTATGGCCAGAAAATCAGAGAGATAGCGCAAAATGGCATCCATGCCATTGATAAAATGGATTTCCTATCTAACTACACCAAAATCCATGCTCATGCATTCTCAAAGGCCAACATACTAAGTGGATTTGCGGCTGCTGGTCTTATTCCTTTTAAACCGGAGAAAGTGCTTGCAAAACTCCATATCAAGCTGAAGACACCAACTCCACCTTCTTCCTCATCCAGCAATCAATCCTTTTATTTAGGAAGGACACCGGCCAATCTTTATCAGTTGAATCAGCAGAAAAAGCAGATTCAAGACCTTCAAAATCAGTCTCTATCTTCAGTTGTCGCGGACCAGATGCTTGAAAAATTCATGAAGAGCACAGAAGTTGCAATGCAGGATGCTGTTCTATTAAAACAAGAACTCCATCAGCTTCGCACTTCAAATAAGCATCAGCAAGAGAAGAAGAAGATGACACGAGCCTTTATTCAAGATGGAGGGAGCTTAACTGGTGATGAGGGACTGCAAAGATTGAGAGAAAGAGAGGTGCAAGAAGAGCCATCATCAAGATCACGGCGGCCTGCACGGTGCAGCAATTGCAACCAAGAGGGCCATAATAGATTAAAATGCCCTCTTAGATAGCAATAGATTTAATAGATTCGGCATGCTTTATAACATGGAGAGGATACTACGTAGATGTACGAAGTAATTAGTATGCGCCGCCGCCGACCGCGCCTCTCGGTGATATGCGCCTCTCGGTGATAGATTACGTTACAAGCGGAGGATATATAAGGACACTCATTCATGCACCTAGTTAGTTCTTCGCAATCAATCTAGTTAATCAAGCATTGGTTACCTTCTAGTTTCTGACTCGTCCGCACTTAACCAATAACCCAGCATACGTGCTCGGTTGGCCTTGTTTCTCTATTCGTTACCTTTACTGTTTCTACTTGTTGATTATCTTACGGAGCCTGGAGGGGGCGATATACCCATCGACGCATACGACTTACTGAACCGGACCCAGATGGTCATTGAGCATACGATTACTTGGAAGACACTTAGGGTAAGTGTCCTGTCTCGAAATACAACTAACTAGAACCCTAGGTACGATACGAGGGAAGCCAGGTTGTGACACAAAGATCAGGAGAATTAAATTCGTCGCTTAGGGTTGATTGCGTTACCCTAATTTCGATATATACATGCTCTCGTTATGACAGTACCCTTCTACACTTTTACCTACTTCCTATATGAAATAATACGAAAAATTAGTGTATTTATATATAAGTAGCATTATTTTAAAATACCAAACTTATATCGTAAGGTTACTGGATGATGGTAACTTGTAACTTCAAATTTATTGGTGACGTTGTGCTTCAAAAATACAATCAAAGACGCATAATTTATACACATCCTGGCAGCTAACGAGTCTCGGCACATTTATATTGTTGCAGCCCCAATGGTTAACCGTGGCTCTCGTGCGGTTAGCACTTTGCTAACCAGAGCCGCCCGCAGTGCGGGCGGTTTTGGCTTTGGCTAACCGCGGCTAGCCATGGCTTTGCCGCAGCCTAGTGGAACCTAGTTCTTGATATGGTAGATCGTTTATCCTAGCATGTTAGAACCTTAATTCACACCGGACCTGAAACATTGTATTCCTAGTCATCAGATTTAAGTAATTAAAATTGGTCTCTATTGTTAATAGAGCTTAAAATGGATTTCTAACCACCCATGTCGGGGCCCACTAGATTTCCACCGGCACGCACGGATCGGGACCGGGACCGGGACCGTGATAAAAGTTTAGACAATGATATCATGTTGTCCTATAGCAAGTCGACGGCATCAGCTATTCCACGGCAAAGGCGGCAAAGGCGGAACAACAATACGTTGACGTCGTCACTGATAACTCTTAACAGCAGTTATTTGCATCACGTCACCTACTAACACCCAAGGTTACAATTATATTGACCGAGAAACACAGCGCAATATTCTCGACCACCACATACTCTTACAGACCTACCAACTACAGCTTTTTAAAATGATCCGGTCCATCCAAGCAGCCCAGCGGCTAGATTCAAGAGGAAATCCAACTGTTCAAGTTGACGTGACGATAGATAGAGGTAAGTCAACATCAAACTGGCGTTAATGAATGGTGATAATAAAACATTCATAACAATGATCAGGCACCTTCCGCGCTCTTGTTCCTTCCGGTGCCTCTACCGGCGCCAATGAAGCTGTCGAGTTGAGAGATGAAAAACCATCTGTTTATGGCGGGAAGGGTGTCGAGACAGCAGTACAGAAAGTAGAGCAGGTTATTGCGCCTGTTTTGATTGAGAGTGGGCTCAGGGTAGGCACAGACCAAAAAAAGATTGACGCGCTTCTAAAGGACTTGGACGGTACCAAAAATAAAAGTAACCTGGGAGCCAATGCTATTCTGGGGGTCAGCATGGCATGTGCCAGAGCAGGAGCAGCATCCTTGGTAGGCAGAAACAGACACCCCTGGCAGATTTATTGTTGGGACTGAACTGACTCTTTCCAGGATATACCGTTGTACGAGTTCCTTCGCCGAGAATCAGGAGCGCAAAAGCCTTACGTTATGCCCGTTCCATTCTTCAATGTTCTTAACGGAGGAGTGCATTCTGGCAATAAGATGGCATTTCAGGAGACCATGATTGCTCCAGTTGGTGCCACCTCTATTACCGAGGCTGTCCGAATGGGTAGCGAAGTTTACCAGCAGCTTAAGAAAGTCGTTGTCAAGAAATTCGGTCCCGCAGGTAGGTATCTGAACTTCAAGATATATTTGAAGCCCTAGGGCCTTGTCTGATGAAAGAAATAAGCGGCCGGTATCGGTGATGAAGGAGGATTTGCTCCCCCAATTTCGCAGCCCCATGAAGCTCTTGACCTTCTCGTCCAAGCTACAGCGGATTGTGGATATAGTGACCGGGTTAAATTTGCTATTGACCCTGCCTCAAGCGAGTTTTTCCGGAATGGAAAGTATAACCTCAGATTCAAGGAGAGTACTTCAGATAACCGGACCCCTAAGCAGCTCATGGAGTTATACCATTCGCTGCTGCAGAATTATCCTATCATATTGCTTGAGGATCCCTTTGCAGAAAATGACTGGAACAGTTGGACCGAGTTTAATAAAGAATGCAATCTTGAATTAGTTGGTGATGATTTGCTGGTCACAAACACAAAATACGTCCAGGAGGCAAATGACAAAAAAGCATGTGATTCTATGTTGCTCAAGATTAACCAAATCGGAACCATCACAGAAGCAATTTCGGCGTAAGCTCCCGCCAGTTCTTGTTCCTTGCTTATGTCGTTTATTCCGCTGACTGTTGCCTAGTGCAAATTTGGCTTACAGTTTCAACTGGAGCGTTTTTGTGTCGCATCGGTCTGGTGAAACCACGGATGATTTCATTGCAGACATCGTGACTGGTCTTCGAACTGGACATCTGAAGTCTGGCGCGCCTTGCCGTGGGGAGAGGGTAGCTAAGTACAATCGACTTATGGATATAGAGACAGAACTCAAGGCCAAAGGAGAGACCTGCCTTTACGCTGGTACTCAGTTTCGGGTGGCACACAAGATATAGATCCTTCAGTCTTTATATAATGAATTTTCAAATTGTATTTTCTTTTATCTTTTCATGTTTAAGCCAAGCAAAAGTGACAGCACCATATTGGACATGCACTTTGTATAGAGACAAAAGTCCATTTGCCTGGTTGATGATAGTCGTGATTGGATTTTTAGAACACAATCTCTATATCTTAGACTCCTGGAAACCATCTGCCCTGGAAATAAATGTGGAAGAACTGGTTGAGATGGCTATAATGATGAATTCAGAGTAAATCTTTATGTATTTCTATGCTAGATTGGCTGTCCAGATTTATTCTGAACGTCCTCCAAGCATCACCGCAGGTTCTTCTGGATCGTCATGCTCAAAGCTGTCTAAATGTCAGCGTTTGTATATGTGGGAGGTAAGGAACCTCACCATAGAACTCCTAAACCCGCTGTTTCAACAAGAAGTCTCATCCCATTTCCCAAGGGCTCTCTGCCCATCTCAACCCAATGCAGACAAGATGTGCCCGTGGGCTACGCAGACGATATCGCGAGAGCTTCCAGCCGCTGTTCCTTCTGTTACCCCTGACTGAGGCTCCAGAGGATTCTTCATTTCCCCAATCAATTTGTGTAGCCTGTCGGAAACTTGTTGTGGGGTCCTAAATAGTAAAGCAGTTCCGTTAGTCTTGTAGACATGAGATCTTCTGCTTTCAACCATTAGGGGGCTTCCTTACTCTCCGCGCTCGCATCCGTCCCCCCAGATATTCCAAGGCTGATGCTGGTCTAGGTTTCTTGAGTTCCTTAGTTTCCAAACCTCAGCGACAGTCAAGCCCTCATAGTCTCCGTAGTCCCATTCCCACAGTAGATCCGTTATGGTGACGGCGGAATGCGACGACAACAGCGTGGAAAACCCTATTGGGACCTTGACGCCTAAATTTAGCAGTTCAAGCGTTCGGCATGCTCGTACTCGAGGCGAGCAATAGCTCACTCAAATCTGGTTGCAGCTATGCTCATACTCTTTCGTCATTTGCATGACCATTTCCAGCCACGGCAAGGACGGTAAAGTCGGAATCAAAGTAATGACTACAAGCAACAACTGTTCTATTGCTTCAAAAGGACTAAGATCAATGCAGGAAAAGGGCGACATTTGAGGATGCCGCACCACCATAGTAGAATGTCACTCGGGGCGGGGTGGGGTGAGCCATGATGCTGCCCGCCCCAGAACCCCGAGACTCTCCGTGTCATACCCAATCTGTCAATCGGATATCGCACTACACCAATCATAGTTATGAAGCCCGGAATCACCAGGCCCAGAACTACAAGGCCCAGCGCCAGTACCCCCAACGATCATTCCGCGAATGGTTAGTCACAATGATGGATAAATTCATGGTCCGCGGCACCAACAGTCCAATGCAATGGATATAATCAACAAGTAGAAACGGTAAAGGTAACGAATAGAAAACAAGGCCAACCGAGCACGTATGCCGGGTTGTTGGTTAAGTGCGGACGAGTCAGAAACTAGGTAACCAATGCTTGATTAACTAGATTGATTGCGAAGAACTAAACTAAGTGCATGAATGAGTGTCCTTATATATCCTCCGCTCTCCTACCATTCTGTATACCATTTATGGTAGATAAATGGTAGAGGATCACGTGACTGATCCTTTGGGTTATCAGCTGGAATCTGATGAGATCTGATAGGTCGGATCAAAGGGATAACGTTAGTCCGACTAGCGAACCTCCGATATATGGCCAGCGTTCGCCACATATAGAAAGACAAGCACTCATCAAGCACTCAAGCACCCGTGTACTCTAGGCTACATTAGATAGAGTATATCAATCGTTCGTTTTAATTGGGTCTTCTACATATAGACCTCGTGCAGTCGGATGATCGACTCCTCCAGTTTCCCCTGAACCTCCGACGGAATCCATTTCAGAATCCCTGTTCCTTCCTGCATTTCCACCATTTCTTGTAGCCCAATGATTCTGCCTTACCTCCCCGAATAATCACGTGAGACTGATGTGGTTTTGGTGTGTGTTGTTAGTTGGATGAATTGGGTGCCTATCGGCTAAGGCTAGTACCCATCGGGTCACGTGCTTGACCGCCCTCGCTTTCTGCCCGGTAGACATATAGCTAGCCTTAGCCGATAGGCACCCAATTCATCCAACTAACAACACACACCAAAATGTGGCTGTCGGAATATAGAGGTTCCTTACCGAACAATACCAACTGATGCCTGATTGATGCCTCGCTGATATCATATGGCGCAAGCAGCGTATTTACTCTGCTATTACTGCTTTTGAAACCGCACAATCGCTTAGTATACAACTATAAGGTAGTTAACGGTCTTATATAGGATCCTAGATAGCTCCCTTTTGCAAGAATCAGAGACCTCGACCATATACGCTTGATACGTACTTTCAACCCTGACTAAGCCGCAACTCCGACAGTGGCTAGGTCTAACATTTGCATTGACAACTGGATTTGCAATCGAGACACGAAATGTCCTCTTTGCCGTGAAACATTCTATCACCTGCGCAAACTTCGGGAGAAAAAATCTCCAGATACTCCATCATCGGTGAATCACCATGGGACGTTTAACTCTCTGAAACATTGGTGCAAGAAGCGGTTGAATAGACAAACTCAGATAGCGATAACAACAGCTGTGCAACAATAGTATGGTTTATCCTAGACCTCTGCAGAGCCCGTTAAGACAGCCCATCTAGTCTCTAGATGGGCTCTCTTTAACCTGAGAGCCCGCCAAGAAGTATAACATTACTGTAAAAATAACTTTACTTCTATCAATGCTATGTAATTAGTGTATATATACTGTCATTTTAGTCTAGATGGGCGGTCTTTGCAGAGGTCTAGTTTACCCCGGTATTTCCAAGAATTACGATATATGATTGAGTCGTCTTCAGCGTTGCATGTATTTGTCCATAATGGTTACGACTTCACAAGAAATATATCATGTTTGTAGGCATGGCAATTGATGTTTATGTGTATATATATCATGCTACTTCATTGAAACCTTAAAATGAATGATGAAATCTTGCCTGGGCGATTTCCATTGGGAACTCACTATACAGCAACTTGATTGAGACAAAACCAGACATACCGGTCAAGTATATCCGACCTAGTCGCCCGGGCCGCGCGAATCGTCTTCAGCAAGCAACGACCAAAGAAATGGCGTAGTGATTCTCTCAGAAGCGAGGGCTGCCTGCCGAGATCTATACCTGATTATATTCAGTTTCGAAAGAAGCTCTACAAGTCGAACACCGCTCCTTGATTCATAGTTCCAAGAAATTCTGTACACCAAAATGCCGGGAAGGTTCTCTATATTATCCTTCAAATCAATATACTGACTATGGTAGAAAGTTACTGTTCATTTCAACGACACCACGGCATGTGAAGAAGTCAAAGAAACGGCTTCCCAGTAAGTATCTATTTCCCTCCAGGAACCAGGCTATTGCAAGGAACTCATTCATTTCAAATAGAATTTTGAAGGGAGAGAAAGGGCCGCCTCCGATTCCTACTCCGTCCTCGCGTCCAGTATACATATTGTATGTGTTCTAGTGTCTTTGCTCAATTCAAGGAAACCTCCCATTGACTGTGTTTCTATAGGGGCCGCGATATTAGTGACTCTGAAATTGATGAATTGAATAAACTGCAAGGAATCGAAGTTGTATTTCACAAAGATTCGCCATGAATGCTAGTTAATGTTTGACAACTTTTAATCATAGCCCTTGTTGCAATTTAATGGACGAAAATACGAGTACTAAAACTAGACAAATGAAGTAAAATACTTTCCGATAATTAGCTACAGACATTCATCTTACTGCGACTCCTAGTTACTCATGGAAATCTGCCTTGCCAGATGGTCGTGTGTCGGATTAGAGTTGTTCAAGAATCTATGGGCTCACCAGATACGGACATCCCGTGTTAATGTTAAATAGCAGAATCAGTGGCAATTGCTAATTGTAAATGAGCCAAAATTCTAAAACCTAAATATCTATATATCAGGCTTCTTTCGTGACTTCCAAGTCTCATAACAATGGCTAATAAGGCTCAGGGCAAACCTGGACACCATCAGTCAGCATATCCCAGCTACAGATTAGAATTAGACAACAGTGCACAGCAAAGCATACCCCTGATCCTTCGCCTCACCATCCAACCCAATCTCATTCTCCCCCTTCTCCTCAGGAACTTTATACTGTCGATACCAATCCTTGAGTTAATTCAGAAACCCCGGTAGACACCGCTCAACATCATTAATATCCTGGCAACATAGAAAGACCGAGACCGAGAAAAGTATATATCAGAGTATTCATATCTATTTGATGTGAGTATCTATGTCATCTTTCCATGCAAGCGCCGTCATGAAATTCATAAACCGTACCGAAACTTTTATCTACCATAACCCAAATCCATTCCCAGATACAGATATATAGAAAATGCAACTCGACTACTTCTTCCTCCTCGACGAAGAAGAAACCATCTTCTTCTTCATGTGCTTCGGCATCTTCTTCTCTCTCTGCGCCCGCTTCTCCTCCTTAACCTTCTGCTTGTGCTCGCGTTTTATGTCCTTATCCAGGAAGCGCTTTCCGCGAGGCGTTTTCTCTTCATCTTCGTATTCATCCCCTGACTCGGCGTCGGAGCCTCCGGACATGGAGACGCCGCCCTCGGATTCCGAGCCGGACTTGTCTTCGCCTTCCTTGGGTCGGTGCTTGGCTAAGAGGTCACGGTAGACGAGATCTGATCCCTCGCCTGCGCGGACCTTCTCGACATCGCGCTCAATGTCGTACACCTGTTCAAGTGTTTGAGGGATATATTGTTGGCGGAAGACGGCAGCGTCAACCTCTGCTTCTGCGGTTTGCTCGTTCTCGTCTGCTTGGTTCTCGCGCGCTTCGTAGAATTTCTCAATCGCCTCGAACATCTCGTCGTTCGTCTCTGTGATTGTTGCGGGGCCTTCAGGCGAGATGATGAATTTGAAAACTGTTTGTTCAGGTAGTGGATCGACACCCTTTCTGCGGAAGAAGTCGCTGACGTTCTTGATATCCATGCGCAGGAATTCCAAGCTGCGCGGGTGGTCGTGTTCAACGGATTGACTGACGTCGATAATGTAGAGTTTCTCCTTGTGGTAGAGAATATTGTACTCGCTCAAATCGGCATGGACTAAGTGACATGTCTGGTACATCACGCGCATGTAACCCAGCAACTCCATGTAGTGCGTGCGCCAGCGTGTCTCAGGCTCGGGGACGTCGAATTCAACGTCCTTGAGACGGGGCGCCGGCCGACCCTTGGAGGTACCGATGAAACCCATGACAAGGACATGCAGGCGGAGTTGGATTGGTTCTGGGCTGGGTATACCAGCGCCATAGATACGGCGGAGGTTGCGCATTTCCTTCTCTGCCCAGACCTTTACCATTGACCGGTTGTTGCTCTTGTTGTATCCGGAGCGGAATCGGAATTCACCACTCACGTACCTGTCTCTGTCCTTGAAGACGAGGATACTGGTTTTGTAGACTTTGATTGCGCGGTGGATGGTTGGGGGCTCTTCGTCTTCGTCGGTCTCCGGATGGAAGATGGAATGGTAGACGTTGGCTTCTTTACCCGTCGATAAGCAGCCGTGGATTTCTGAGACGATGTTGCGGTTTATCATCTGGAGGAGAATCATCCGTGTGCGCGGGTCCAGCACCTGCTCAGACGTTGCTCTGTCGGCCCTGTCGCCGCCCCGGTCACCACGGACCGCCATCCCCGATTGCATATCATCAAGCTTGATCTTCCCAGTATGACGAGTCAAGGTGTTAATCTGGTCATCGACGGAAGCGTATGTGTTCACCGTGGGCTTCTGCGTGTTGGTCTTGGGGTACGTCCATTTCGGTGCATTAGGGTCTGCGGCAAGTTCGTTCACTTTGCGCTGTCGGTTGTAGCCTTTCGTCAGGTCATCATTATTCGACGATGTGAATTCCTCCTCGTTCATTTCCTCCTCAAAAATGTCATCGTAGTACTCGTCGTCTTCCTCGCCTTCCTCTGGTTGTGCCGGATCTTGCCCCGCCAGCGCGGGGACGCTGCCATCGGCGTTCATGTAGCCTTGATTAGGGACGTAGATATGGGAGGGCGCCAAACCATCGGCCGGCCCTGCTGTCGATTCCGTTGATGCCATCTTATCCGAGCTCCACGACGAGTTCAATTGTCAAGTCTGAAAAGGGACTTGCTGCGATGATTTTTTCTGAGTGCGGACCTTATAGACACTCACCGCCCGGCAGAACCCCGCGGCCTAAGGACTCGCCGCCTTCCAACGCGTAGCGCGTACCGTAGTAGGTTCTTTCTCCAAGGCCAGAAAGCATCAACCCACGGCGGCTACACACCTTTAATCTGCCCTGTTGGTGTCGCTACGGGAGAGGCTCTCATAATCGACTGCGACGTCGCGTGATGCTTTGGTGGCTATAAGTGTCGATTTCGCGTCGCGTGCCTCGTCAAGATGTACGTTAAGCAAATTATTATCCAGGGTTTTAAGAGGTGAGTGCGCATTATCCTTTTTTATTTGAGCTATCACTGATAATGTGCGCCTCTTAGCTACAAGGACCAAACGGTCATCGAGCCCTTTTCGCCTAAGCACAATGTAATCGTTGGTCGCAATGGTTCCGGCAAAAGTAATTTCTTCGCGGCCATCCGTTTCGTCCTCAGCGATGCCTACACACACCTCGGGAGAGAGGAGCGACAGGCCCTTCTACACGTGTGTCTACCATCCTAGGTGGATATATTACTGGTGGCTGACCTCGAACAGGAAGGATCTGGATCCGCCGTGATGTCGGCCTATGTCGAAATTATCTTCGACAACTCCGATGACCGATTCCCGACTAGTAAACCAGAAGTTGTCCTTCGTCGCACAATCGGTTTGAAGAAGGATGAGTACACGCTAGATCGGAAAAACGCTACCAAGTCCGATGTCATGAACCTCCTCGAATCGGCCGGTTTCTCGCGGTCGAATCCTTATTATATCGTTCCCCAAGGTCGTGTTACTGCTTTAACCAACATGAAAGACTCGGAACGATTAAATCTGCTGAAGGAAGTGGCGGGAACACAGGTCTACGAAGCGCGCCGTGGGGAATCCCTGAAGATCATGAACGAGACCAACAGCAAGCGGGCGAAGATTGACGAGCTTCTGGATTTCATCAACGAACGACTTGGTGAGTTAGAGGAAGAAAAGGATGAATTGAGGAATTTCCAAGAACGGGATCGTGAGAGGAGATGCTTGGAGTACACCATTTACTCGCGCGAGCAGCAGGAAATTGCGGGTGTCTTGGACAGTCTCGAAGAGCAGCGGCAAACTGGTGTCGAGGATACAGATCTGAACCGTGATCGTTTCATCCAGGGAGAAAAGGAAATGGCACAAATCGACGCAGAAGTCGCAGAATGCAAGCAACAAATCGAGTTCCTCAAGGTTGACAAGGCCCAGCTTGAAGATGAACGCCGTGAAGCTTCGAAGGGCCTTGCGCAAGTTGAACTCCAAACCAAGTCACTCACCGACAACCAGGCTGCTGCGCAGTCCCAGAAAGCACGTCATGACCAGGATTTGAATTCCGTGCAAACCGCGATCAAGGAACGTGAATCAGAACTCCAAGAACTCCTTCCCCAGTTCAACACGGCCAAAGACCAGGAAGACAATATCAAGTCGCAACTTACCGATGCAGAGACATTGCGCCAACGGTTATACGCCAAGCAGGGCCGGAATTCGCGGTTTAAGAACAAGTCCGAACGGGACAAGTGGCTGCAAACTGAAATCAAGGACAACCATACCTCCATCTCTACGGTCCAAGGTGTCATGGCCCAGACTCAGGAGGATATCAAGGACCTGGAGAATAAGATCGCTTTGTTGGAACCGGAGAATGAACGTTTGCGCCAGCAAATCGATGGCAGAGGAGATACCATCCAGTCTATAGATCAGCAAGTCCAGAATGCAAAGGATGAGCGAGACCGGTTGATGGACCAAAGGAAAGAGCTCTGGAGAGAAGAAGCCAAACTCGATTCGATATTGACGAACGCCTCGCATGAAGTCGAACGAGCCGAACGCAACCTCTATCACATGATGGATCACAACACCAGCCGTGGTATTGCAGCCGTGCGTCGGATTAAACGTCAATACAACCTCGAGGGTGTCTATGGGACAATGGCGGATCTGTTCGAGGTGAACGAAAGATACCGAACAGCAGTTGAAGTCACCGCCGGCCAGAGTTTATTTCACTACGTCGTCGACACGGACGAAACTGCTACCAAGGTCTTGGAGATTTTACAGAATGAAAAGGCAGGTAGAGTAACATTTATGCCTTTGAACCGTCTGAGGTCCAAACCCATCAACATGCCTCGGGCCAGTGACACGATTCCCATGATTGAGAAAATGCAGTATGACTCTGCATATGAGAAGGCGTTTATGCATGTGTTCGGAAAGACGATCATTTGTCCAAACCTGCAAGTTGCGTCGCAGTATGCTCGAAGCCACGGTGTCAACGCTATTACCCCAGAAGGTGACCGTTCAGACAAGCGAGGTGCCCTCACTGGTGGTTTCCACGACTCTCGCTCTTCTCGTCTCGACGCAGTGAAGCATCTCACAAAATGGAGGGATGAGTTTGAGAGCAAGAATAATCGTGGCACAGAGATACGGCGAGAACTGGAGAAGCTTGACCAGGTCATCACTCGGGCTGTTGGCGAGTTGCAGAAGCTGGAACAGCAGAAACATCAAGTGCAGAACAGCAGCGGTCCCCTACGGCACGAACTGAGGAGCAAGCGTGAATTGCTTCAAAAGCAACAGGATAACCTCGACGCCAAGCGACGAGCTCTCCGGAACATCGAGGCCAACTATGCTTCTCTGTCAGATCAGGTCAATGCGTTTGAGGCTGAACTGAAGTCGCCGTTCCAAAAGGCGCTTACCAGTGAAGAGGAAGAGAGCTTGGAGACGCTCAGTGCTACTGTCCAAGATCTCCGTAAGCAGTATCAAGAGCTTACGGGTGGTCGCAGTGAGCTGGAGGGACGGAAGTCTGTCCTTGAAGTTGAACTCCGGGAGAATCTTCACCCGCGCCTTGACCAGCTGCTCAGTCAAGGTATTGATATGGCTGACGACGACAACGGGGGTAACCTGAAGGAAACACAGCGCGAAATGAAGCGCATTGGCAAGAACCTGGAGAAGATCGGTGACCGTTTGCGACAAGTGGACGAGTCAATCGAGAAATCCAACTTGCGGGTGTCTGAATTGCAGCAACGCAACGGCGAAACACGACGGGAGCTGGAAGATCTTGCCAAGTCGATTGAGAAGCACCAACGCCGGATGGAAAAGAGCATGCAGAAGAAGGCAGCCTTGACCAAGCAGGCCGCTGAATGTGCAGCCAATATCCGTGACCTGGGTGTTCTTCCCGACGAGGCCTTCACCAAGTACAAGAGTACCGACTCCAACACCGTCGTCAAGAAGCTGCACAAGGCCAACGAAGCCCTGAAGAAGTACTCTCATGTCAACAAGAAGGCTTTCGAGCAATACAACAGCTTCACGAAGCAGCGGGAAACTCTCACCACTCGTCGCGAAGAACTCGACGCGTCGCAGGCATCCATCGAGGAACTTATCCAGGTACTAGACCAGCGCAAGGATGAAGCCATCGAACGGACATTCAAGCAGGTCTCGCGTGAGTTCCACAACGTGTTTGAGAAGCTGGTTCCCGCGGGTCGTGGCCGGTTGATCATTCAGCGGAAGACTGACCACGCTGTTCGGGCGGGCGAAGATATTGACTCGGATGACGAGGATGCGCGACAAAGTGTGGAGAACTACGTCGGTGTTGGCATCAGTGTCAGCTTCAACAGCAAGCATGATGACCAACAGCGCATTCAGCAACTCAGTGGTGGACAGAAGAGTAAATCACCCCCCCATATAACCCTACTTCTAAAGACAAGACACTAACATTATTAGGTCTGTGCGCCCTCGCCTTAGTCTTCGCCATCCAAGCTTGCGACCCAGCACCCTTCTACCTCTTCGACGAAATTGACGCCAACCTCGATGCACAGTACCGAACAGCCGTCGCACAAATGCTTAAGTCCATCTCCGACTCAACTAACGGCCAGTTCATTTGTACAACATTCCGGCCGGAAATGCTGCATGTGGCCGAGAAGTGCTACGGAGTTAGCTTCCGGCAGAAGGCTAGTACGATTGATGTGGTCTCGAGGGAGGAGGCGTTGAAGTTTGTTGAGGAGCAGAGGGTGTAACGGATGAAACCTTTATGTTGTTCTTTTCGGCTTAGGGATGTAATGACAGGCGTATGGCGGTTCTTTCCCCCCTTTTATTTCATTGAAGTATTACTTTGAAATGTATGTACTTTATGTCAACTTTGTTGGTAATTTATTGCTATGATTCCCAATACTATATTGTATTCATTCATCTCTCTCGTATGGAAGCTCGTTGGGACTAAAAATATGCCATCAGCCTAGCATCTACATACCCTCCAAATGATATCCTAACAGTTAACCGTTTCGCAAAGGTCCAGCGTGTACATGATATATATCAATGATGAAAAGAGATGCCAGAAGACAGGGACATTTGGATGATAGGAGGCTACCCACACATCAACGTGACAGTTTATAGAAATTGCCCAACGTAAAGGGTGGATTGAAAGACATCGTCAAGGTGTTTCATAAGGGTTTCGAAGATAATGTGAAAACAACAGCAAGTATCATACAGAATGAGGTAGCGCTGCTTTTCGCTGACGGCCACATTGATGCCGGTATTCCGGCCCCTATCACTGATCCAGGCTTAAAGACGGCTTTTTGCTTGGTCCAGCCAGAATAATTTCATGCTAAATGACGGCCTAGTTCAAGACGGCTGCTACCATCGATCCAGAGCCCGATTATTTGAGCCTAGCATCCCATAGGAGGCTAATCGGTATCCATTGAAATATCGCCAACAGCGAATGTAAATTACTCGCTTTTCGAAATGCCGCCATAGGGTGTATCAAGACGATTACCAAAAAAGGACGCCCACACAAATCCTTGGGGAGCTACCAAGTGTATCTGATACTCTTTAGACCCTACTGCCAGAAAAAAATGGATATACAATGTCGATATTTATTGGCTTTGAGCGATGCGTTATGCCTAGGAGTTACCCGAGCTCAGTTTAGGCACTCTGAACCTTCGCCTCAAGAGAAGGGTGCCGATTGTGTAACTAAAGAAGGTTTGGTGAAGATTTATCACGTCACGGCGGACTGTTGGAATAGGGCTAGCGATGGTTCGACAAGGTGTGATCTAGTGGTTTCAAATATTTTGGGATGCTGTAACCGCGCTATCTGGACAAAATTCTGGAATTAACCGTCATTTGAATTCTAGTCAAGTGGAAAGTGGACATTTTACAAATTGCACTTCGTTGCCAAAGCCCTAAAAGTTAATCAGCCAAACAATACAACAATGTTTTATTTTATGTACTATAAGACACATGGTGTTACTAGTGTCCCCGTAAATGGGGAAAAGACCATGCTTGCGATGGAGGAAAGCCGCAGCCAGGAGTCCAGGACCAAGACCCAAACTTCCTTAACAATTTCCTTGATGGTTTTATTTGACCATGGACTATGCGGCTGGCATATATATTTCTGAACTAAACCAAAGATAAGACCTATACAGTATGGCCACTCCTGAATGATTTGTTATACAAAAGATAATATCTCAAACCATTGTTCCACCCCATGTCATAGCAAGATGCTAGACAAAACAAAAGCAAGAAAAGATTCCAGCACCAATGCCCAGTATAGCTTCAGTAAAATAAATTGCACGAGGTTGGTGGTGTTTTAATGACAAAAGTCGCCACAGCTCAAATGAGGACTAGATAGAAATTATTCGAACCTTTCTGTGGCGTTCTCATGCAATATGAACCTATTGGTAGATTATCTGACAAAAAACTAACATGAGGAAGGAAAGAAAAGAAGCTGGACCTGCCAGCGCTGAACCATTTGTTGTGTGCGAAGAGGTTCCTGCCCTTAGTGCCCTGCATTCAAACAGGCCAAAGTAATCAAATATGTGGCAGTTGCAGCAACACTATCCAAGATCCAGCTTCCCATGCTAGTGTTTTGAGCAGACAGTACTTCTGTGGTATATTGAAGAATTGAAGAAATGAAGAATTGCTTTGTAGACTTTAACAATGACATGTCCTATCTCAGCGTTTTTGTCGGAGTTAATGCGGTAAAAACTATTTTCAATAAAGGCACATTGGGCAAGAAGAGCGTCTGCTAAATATTCTGGGGAACTGAGCAAAGCATCTCGCAAGTCAAGGCGGGTTTTGCTCATCTAAAATTTAGGTTATGCATTAGTCTCGCCGTCGTATGAGCTGTACTGGAGATGACTTGCAGTCAATCCAAGTGAAACAACTGTCTAGGCACTTGCTGCATGTTGAGTGAAATCAAAAGCTACACTGCATTGATCATCTTTTGTGAAAAAATTCGAAGATCAATATCCTCCTCTGTTGGCCTCTGAATCTATATGCATCCTTGTTGGTATTTCTCGTATTGCTCCCCTCTTATCTGGACAACCTTGTCAATTATAGCCTCCGTTCGGCAATTATTTTTATTAGTCTTGAGCTGAGCAGGAATTTCTATTCTTGACAGAATATCCTGTACCTTTTGATCTAGCTGGTAATAGGCGCATTGCCACAGGTCCTGCTGGAGAGTATGGTCCCCCAATTGGCCCTTGATTATGCTGGACCGATTGGTTGATTCCAATACTGGAGTAACAAGTGTATGGTCAGGTTGATTCGGCTGGTGATATGCTTTCTGGGGCTTCCTGAATCGGTTGAAAAGACGGTCTATCCACTGAGGCATATTGAGTTGTCAAGAGATATGTTAAAATAAATTTTCTAATGAATAAATATCGTTGATTATGTTGTAGATTCAATTTCTGGGATGAGGAGAATACTTATTTTCATTTTGAAGATCAATCTTCAAAATGAGCTGGCACATTTGAAGGGCAGGGGTTATCATTCATCAAATACTAAGTAATCATGATGACTGAGAAATTTTCTTCAAAGCTAGTAACTATCAATATTTACTCGTTGCCCCTAAGGGGGAGGACATACAAAGGACATACTAAGGTATTTTGGTACGTTCTCTATCAAATGTCATGCAGTAGGAATGTCGAATAATGAAAGCACAATGTTTATGGGACCTATCCGCCGGCGAGTGGAAGCACCTTTCTCAATGGGTTTCTCCTGATACCCTAAGAGACTGGATCTATCTGTTGAACACAAGCTGTTAAGCTGGTGACTGGAAGCAAGCACGCAATAAATATACCTAGTCGGAGCTAGTGATCTTGAAATTTCTGAGGCACAACCGCATGAGCAACTTGTTTCTCAGTCACAAGCTTTCAGGCACATAACTTCAACACAAATGACGCCAAAACGATGGACAGCATCAAGCCGCCTGAACAGGGGAGGGTTTTGTGTTTCAGATGAATGAGGGCAATGCAGATGTGCTTAATGTACCGAGGAAATTTGCACGTAAAGAGTCACATTCAGGTCTCAAAATTGCCATCATAAGGACCCTTTGCACAGGACACCGTTGATTCCAGGTGGGAAGGACTACATCGCCTATTGCTTTCATCGTATCACTCACTCACCAATATCTCACCCTAGATATGGGTCGAGGGCGGCGTTGAAGTCAGCAACCGCAGAAAATCTGCGACACCGCTATTTGAATCCTTGTTCTGCACGCTCGTAACACTTGCTTGGGACAAAACAGAACGTCCTAAAGGCTGGAGATGGGCTCACGAGGTAGTACGGATAATAGTTGGTGGCGACTATCAGTCTGTTCCGTCAATGTTCACTCAGCATCCGGGTCTCGCTCATATCAATCATCTATACTATGGCCCAGATATGTACGGTCCACTCAGACACACGCAAGCAGACATCTTTACCATCCTATAACTTATCCGAGAGATCTCAGCGTACATCAACTATGCCAACTGGCCATGGTTTCAACAAATTATAAGCTGATATCGACCATGCGGATTCGTCTTCGCGTATTATAGCATATTCCCTTTTCAACCCTTACACGAAAGCGTTGTTTTCATGTCTTCAGTCTTCACGCTTTCACGCTGTTATGAGTAGCATCAATTCCCCTCGTCTATTTCACGAATGGCATGCGCCAAGAAAACAGATAAAAAGGCTATACAGGTTGAAGATATGGGTGAATAGAATATATTGCGTTTCATTAGTCGTTATAGAATATTGCAAGTAATCATCATGGTTTACCCTGTCCACTCCTCTAGAATGTGGCCCGGAACATCCCTCACAAGAATATGAACATGCTCCAGAGATCTGACACTCTGTAGCGCACTCCAATTCTTAAACCACAGAACCCGCCCCTCAGCATCGTCAAACCCCTCCCCCTCCAACCTCCCCACAAACACCCTCTTGACAAACCCCTCAATCAACCCCCTCGACTCATCTGTCAAATCCCCGCCATCCTGTTTCACCGGAACCGGCGTCCTCAACCAAACAACCAAATGCACGATCCCCGACGCCAACCCATACGGCCAGTCATTGCGGAGGATCTTGTAGTCCGAGGGATCGGCAAAAGGGATCGGGTTCGCGAACGGCAAGACGGGGCCGCTGTCGGCGGTGCCTGAGGCACTATTGGCCAATGTGGAGGTGGAAGAGGAAGGGTCCGGGAGGTGCCATTTTAAACGGACCTGGCAGATGTAGTTGGTTATGGTGCCGTACTGGGCTTTAGTGCTGCTGGACCATGAGAGGTATCGGAGGAGATCGGAGGGTTTCCGCTTGAGGGCGCCGAGGTCATTTTTGGCTGCGGGGAGTCAACCAGAGTTCATATTGAAGGACTGTTATGACAGTGGTGGCATACCTATTATCGCAGCTAGATCTTCCCAGTCGTGCGGGACAAATTCCTCGTCGGTCATGGAGAGGATCTGCCGGTCGCTTTCGGTGAGGGTGAAAGGAGTAGCCATTTGGAGTAGAGAATCTTAATGTACGAGTACAAGTAGAATAGCAAGAACTGTCTATTGTTTGTATACTGCAGAAAAATACTCTTTTGAGCATAGTTTTCCGGGGCCGAAGCAGCAATTGATTCCGCGCTTATTCTGCCGGCGGTTTGCAGATTCGGCTTTTGTTCCCCAACATTTTGTCTGCGGTCACTCTCGCTCTCCTTTTCCTCCTCAACCCTTCTCTCCTCTTCCTCTTCCCTCTCTCTTCTCTTCGTGTCTCTTGTCTTTATTCTCACGAAGAGTCTTCGATATGGGGTATGTTCATACAATTCTGCCATTCGCAAAACAACTACTAACACAGGTCCGATTTCGCAGTGCCTTTTCCACCGAAAACATCAACGGGGTCTACATCCCCTCGGCCCTTTTAATCCTGGGAACCTTCCTCGTGAAACAGGAATGGCTTCCCTTCGCCGTGGCCATTGCCGCTGTTTTGGGTGGTGTCAAGCTCGTGGGTGGTAGCAGTACGTGGCGTTTAACCCAAAGTTCATGTGAATGCGAACATGAAGGTACACGGATATTAACAGACCACAGAACCCAGAAAGGTCCTCATCGCCGACCAATTCCAAGACTTTATCCTCAAGGAAAAGAACGACATCTCCCACAATGTCACCGTCTACCGTTTCTCCCTCCCCCGTCCCACCGATATTCTGGGTCTCCCCATCGGCCAGCACATCTCCCTCGCCGCCACCATCGACGGCCAACCCAAGGAAGTCGTGCGCTCCTACACCCCCATCTCTTCCGACGAGGATGCCGGTTACTTCGATCTTTTGGTTAAGGCCTACCCGCAGGGTAACATCTCCAAGTACCTGACGGACCTGCAGGTCGGCCAGACCATGAAGGTGCGTGGACCCAAGGGTGCCATGGTCTACACTCCCAACATGTGCCGTCACATTGGTATGATCGCTGGTGGCACTGGTATCACTCCCATGTTGCAGATTATCAAGGCTATCATCCGTAACCGCCCGCGCAACGGTGGTAACGACACTACCAAGGTGGACTTGATCTTTGCCAACGTTAACCCTGAGGATATTCTGCTCAAAGACCAGCTGGACCAGCTTGAGAAGGAGGATGATGGCTTCAACGTGTACTATGTGCTTAACAACCCACCGGCTTCGTGGAACGGTGGTGTTGGTTTCGTCACTCCTGACATGATCAAGGTAAGCTTGCCGCTTGTCTTGCGCAACAGTTTTAAGGCGACGGTGCTAACGAGTTATAGGAGCGCCTCCCTGCCCCCGCCAGCGACGTCAAAGTCCTCATGTGCGGTCCTCCTCCCATGATCAGCGCTATGAAGAAGGCTACCGAGTCTCTCGGATACACCAAGGCTCGCCCTGTCAGCAAGCTCGAGGACCAGGTCTTCTGCTTCTAAGCAGTTTCGATTTATTTAAGATTTGGAGCGCTATCCGTTCCGCATATGGAAGTTAGGGTGCGATGTTTAGACATTTTGCGAATTTAAGATATGATCTGTTTATAAATAGACAAGAAGCAGGCTTCGATGAGCAATGAGACAAGAGATTCGTCGTTATCATTATCATTAGCTATCCAAAATATCCCGGGTATACTAGGCCTCTTCGTCCCCATCCACCTCCACCATAGCATCCACCATCTCCAAAAACTTCTCCCGATACTCCTCCGCCGTCGTCGTAATAGTCATAGGCCCCTGCCGTCCGATCATATTAAACGTCTGCACCGCCCCTGTCATAGCCTGTGCATGCAGCTTATGCCTGGCCCAGAAGAAATCCAACAACACGGCACGATACTTCCACTGCCCATCAGCAGACAACACACCCACCCTCCACCGATTCTTCCTCCCCACAGCCTCAGGCGCCGAGCTCGCGGGATACCGCACAAGAAATAGGGAGTAATCCACCGCATTTGACTCCTGCAGGAACTTTGTATCGGTGCGCATAGTCCTTATCAGATCGCTGTAGTCCTCTGGCAAAAGACGGACCTTATCCTCGAATCTATCGCCCAGTTTTTCCATAGCTTTTTCATTCAACAACGGATCAGGAACCAGATCCCGTTGTGGGTAGAAATAATCCACCGGTTTCAAGTCATACGTCTCCCACTGGTCTTTTGCAGGATCATCGTTCTTCCCGTACAACGTGTTGTCCATAATGATGTGGTGGGCGGGGGTTGTTCGTAGTAGGCTACCGATCGTGACGTACGGCGCGAAAACATAGTCCGTGATCCAAACAAGAAGGGAATCGGGGTTCGTGCACATGTGCATGTAGTATGGTTGCAGGAGTTCGCGACGGAAGAACGAGTGCTCGAAGTGGCGGGGGAGAGATTTGATGAGGAATTTCGAGTTGGAGGTACTGAAGAATGTCTACCCCATTATACATTAGCATGATATTTCTCTGCAGAGACAAGGGAAAGGAGCGCATACCGATCCAGAAAACCCCAAATCTCCCATCGACTTCACTCGATCAGCTGCCTCGAAACATCCCAGATACTCGTTCTCGTCGATCTCCCATACATTATTGCGCAGTCGCTGGAAGAGGATGTTGGCATAGCGCAGGAGTTCGATGTAGTAGATGCTGAAAACGACCTGAATGTGACCGAGGGTTGTTCTTTGGAAGTCGTTTGGGTCGCGGAATAGAGCTGAGCGGATGGATTTGCTCAGGGCAGACTGGCGACGACTACTCATTGTCGCTGGATGTTGCTATTAGACTGTGTAGAATATCGTATGTCTCCATTTTGTCTGATTGTCATAAGCACGACTTGTCATCTCGTATTAAGGACAGCTGCCTATTATGATGTCACTGGTAGGGCTAGGGTATAATCTTACACGTGGATCAAATCACATGATCTCACATGACCAATACATACCGCCCGGCAAAATGTCGCATTGAGTCAACCAAAAAAACCCCCCAAAAAAGAGAGGAACTTGGGTTCTCTTCTCGCCTGTGGTTCGTTTGCCTTGAATATTTTATGGGTCGTGCAGTGTTCAGCGGGGCTCGATATTTCGCTTTGCAGAGTGTTACTGTTTCCGCCCGGACTTGTTGCCCCTCCATCCCGACTTTTCTGCGATCCAGTTATCGACTTTTTCTCTCCGCGCGCCCCTCCCCCTCCTTTTCTTCTTTCGCATCCTCTCGACGAGCTTTCGGTACCTCCAAAACTACGCTCGCCATGGCTTCGAATGACCTTCCCATCTCCGTAGAGGGGTTGTCCCTCCAGTCGACCTCCGAGACTTCCAAGTTCGCCAACTGCTTTCCGTCGTTGAACCCGGTTGATATCTATCGCGAACATATTGCGGAGAAGCTGAGCGAGGGCACTGGTATCGAGGCGGAAAAGATCTACTCTCGGTTGATGTGGACGAGTACCCTGGACAAGGGTGATTTGGTTCTGCCGGTACGCTCCTACCGGAAGATATCGACAGCGAGGGAGTAAAGCTAACGGTTATATACTAGATTCCATCCCTCGGAATCAAGAAGAACCCCCAGGAGCTCGGCAAGGAACTCGCCGAAAAGTTCCCCGAGTCCGACCTCGTTCTGCCTCCTAGCGTTGCCGGTGTTCACCTCCAGTTCTTCTTCCGGCCCCAGCCGTTGATGCACACCGTCCTCCGCCGCATCCTCAAGGACCGCACCACCTATGGTACCAACGGAAACCAGGGTCTGCGGGATCCCGCGGACCCCTCGAAGGGCCGCAAGAAGATCATCGTCGAGTTCTCGTCACCCAACATCGCCAAGCCGTTCCACGCTGGTCACTTGCGGAGTACCATTATCGGTGGTTTCCTGGCCAACCTGCACACCGTTATGGGCTGGGATGTGGTTAAGATGAACTACCTCGGTGACTGGGGTAAGCAGTATGGTCTGCTCGCCAACGGCTTCAAGTACTTTGGTGATGAGGAGAAGCTCACTAAGGACCCTATCAACCACTTGTTCGATGTGTATGTCAAGGTCAACAACATTGTATCTGAGCAGGATGGCCCGATCAAGGAGCTCAAGGAGCAGATCAAGGCCAAGAAGGAGAAGAGCGAGGACGTTTCTGCCCAGGAGGCTGAGCTGCAGAAGCTCGTCGACGCCAGTGAGGACGAGAAGGCTCGTCGGTACTTCAAGAGCATGGAGGATGGCGAGCCGGAAGCTCTCGCCCTGTGGAAGCGATTCCGTGAGCTCAGTATCGAGAAGTACAAGTCGACCTACGCCCGTCTGAATATTGACTTCGACGTCTACTCGGGCGAGTCCCAGGTCAAGAACGAGAGCATGGTCTCCGCCCACAACACCATGGAGAAGAGCGGCGTCGCCGAGAAGTCGGACGGTGCTGTCATTGTCGACTTCACCAAGCACGGCGCCAAAAAGCTCGGCAAAGCTATCATTGTCCGTAAGGATGGTACTCCCCTGTATCTGACCCGTGACATCGGTGCTATTGTCGAGCGTGACGAGGAGTTCCACTTCGACAAGATGATCTACGTCATTGCCGCCCAGCAGGACCTGCACACTGCTCAGCTGTTCAAGATCACTGAGCTTATGGGCCACAAAGACTTGGCTAGCCGCTGCCAGCACGTCAACTTCGGTATGGTCCGTGGTATGAGCACCCGTAAGGGTACCGTCAAATTCTTGGATGACATCCTGGGCGATGTCCGTGACAAGATGCACGAGGTTATGAAGAAGAACCCCGAGAAATACGAGCAGATTGAGAACCCCGAGGCTACCGCCGATATCCTGGGTATCACCTCCGTCATGGTCCAGGACATGAGCGGAAAGCGGTACGTCCCCACTCCCTTCCTTTCTCATTAACCCGTGCTAACAAAACCAGCATCAACGGCTACGACTTCAATCTCGACGCCATGACTTCCTTCGAAGGCGACACAGGCCCATATCTGCAATACGCCCACGCCCGCCTCCGCTCCATCACTCGCAAAGCCGGCCTAGACCCCTCTCAACTCGGTGACTCCAACATCGACCTCCTCACCGAGCCCCACGCCATCGACCTTGTCCGTTACCTCGCCCAATGGCCTGACGTCCTTCTCCAAACTACCCGCACCCTCGAGCCCACCACCATCCTCACCTACCTGTTCAAGATGACGCACATGCTCAGCTCAAGCTACGATGTGCTCAAGGTCGTAGGTAGTGAGGAGGATGTGAAGAAGGCCCGGATGACACTTTATGAGGCTGCTCGCCAGGTGTTGTATAATGGTATGCGGATTGTGGGGTTGAGTCCTGTTGATCGGTATGTTCTTTTTTCTCTTTCTTTCCCTGGTTCGATTGGATTTGGTGATGCTAACTTGTCTAGGATGTAAATGTGAAACGTGTGAACGTGTCAATTGAAAAAGCGAAAAGTATGATTTCCTTTAAATACCAATGTTCTATAGTGATTTAGGATAGATGAATGAATGCGCTACCTCTGTTATTTAAGTTCATTCTTGAATTCATCTCCGAGTCCTAAGAGTCAACGACTACTCATTCTGGTAACCTCTATTCATAATAAAAACCAACGACATCATGTATACACAAGAAACAACCTAAACATCAACCCTACTAACAACATACGGCAAAACCCTCACTCCCCCAACCAACCCGTTCTCCTCGTTCTCCGGCAACGCCCCGGTACTACTCAACATCGGCTCCGACCCAGCAATTTGAATCCTATCATACAAACTGCGAATATAATTCCACATTACAGTCGGCACGACAACCTCAACCTTATTCGTCCCTTTCACCAAATACGATCCGATATCAGCAATGGGATTACTGAAGTCAAGACCTGGGAGGCGTTGGTCGTTTATGGAGACTTGGAGACCTTGGGGAACGCGCGGGAGGGAGATGTATGCTCCGGTGGTTTCGTTACTGGAGGGCCAGGTGAATGTCGTCGTGTAGTACCCCACGCCAGAGGTATTACGTAGACCCTGGATATCGAGCCAGGATGGTAGATGGGTTCCCTGGAGGTTATGCGTGGTGTTATGTTTCACGGCGGGAATACTCGCGTTGGTGAAGTTGGATGGTGCTTCCCAGTGTTCGGCGGTTAAGGTCCAGTTGCTCAGCTTAAAAGGGGTGGCGCTGCTTCTTGGGAGGGAGTGTGTTTTGCCGTTTGAAAGTTTGACTGTGCTTGTGCTCGATGGGGTGGACGGAGCGACGTGTAGAGCCAGACCGTTGGTCTTTGTGTAGTTGTATCCCAGGACGTTAGATGGGAGGCTCACCGCGTGTGCGGAAGGTGTATCGATCTCGGATGCTAACTCGTTGCTAAACGCCAACACCACCGTCTGGTTCGAGGCCAGGCGGAGCGGAATAGATAATGACCCGTTCTGAACCTGATACTGCAGCACCGGCGCACGCTTGCCGCTCCAGCTATCGAAGAAATACGGTGTCTTGGTTGTTTGCACGGTGATATTCCCCGACGAAGCGCTGCTGGACGTTGAGAAGATGTACACGTAGTCGGTGGCGTTTTCTGTTCTGAAGACAGGGTACCAGGTGCCGCTGGTCTGGACACGGATGCGAGGGGCGAGGCCCAGGTCTGTAAGCTTCTGTGCAATCTCATGGGTGCCGACAGTGTATACATTCTTGGTGGTTTTGAGCTTTTGCAAGGCTGAGGAAACGGCTTTCCCTTCGGCGGCATTTCTGGAGGCATAGTATCCTGGTAGACCGCCGCTGAGGATGATAGGGAGGCCATTCTGTGCAAATTTCTGCAGCTTCTTGACGGCATCTAAGGTGATGTTCTGCTTGCTAGTGACGACCATTGCCTTGTATGCTGGTGCTTCCGGTGCAAGCAGGCCATTAGAAACACGGGCATCCGTCATGTTGAGATTATCCGGTGAAAGATAGGTGTATGTATATCCAGCATCGATGAGGTCCTGGCCAGTGTACACAGTGCCCACCTGCGGGTCTGTAGCAGAAGCCTTGTTCAAAAAGGCAATATCAGTTCGTGGCTGTCCGAGGTGCAAGATGTATTGGTTTCGGCTGGTGTAAGCGATTGCCTCAGGGTAACTGTGCAGCCACGCAGGTTGCTTGTCGTTGTAGGATTCAGAGAATAGCATGAAAAACGCAGTATATCCCGGCCATGTCGTATCGAAGTAATTTCCAGTGTACGTCTGGCCATGCAAGACAACCTGATTCACACCTCCTGCAAGGGCACTGTTGATCTGCCACAATAAATGAGAAACGGTAAGTTTGAAGGCCTTGCGCAGGTCTCCGCCCATTTCGTTGGAGATAATCTGTTTCTGAGCGACGTTGGCGACACCAGCGAATTGGCGGTAGCCATCGATGTTGTCATTGAATGCAAGACTTTCGCACTCTGGTGCGTTGACGTACTCGATGCTTGACTCCATGTCTATTGGTAGGTTGTATGAGACTTGTGCTGAGTACTCCAGGCCCAGTCCCTCAGCCCAAGTTGTAAGAGTCTTCAAATAAGATTGATAGCCCTGAGCCAATGCTTCACGGTAGTCATTGACAAAGCCCTTCCCAGCGTCTTCCGAATTGAGAACACAAGCAAGATCTCCAGGGTAGGAGGGTTGCACACCAGGATTATTGTTACCGAACTGAACCAAAGGCAGGTATTTCCGCAGATCGTATCCGTTCATCTGTCGAAAGCGCTGGGGTAACGAAGGTGACCAGGAAATATTGGATTTTATCTCAAGACTGTCCTCCCAAGCGTACTTTCCAACTGCCGATATAAGCTCCTTGGTCTCCGTATCGTTTAGGATATGCTTTTCCCAGAAATCAATGGTTGTCTGCGCACCGCGGGCGCTGAAGTGATCCACTGTATATGAACCATTGTCGAAGATTGTTCCCGTGGTGTTGGTTTGGATATCTAGGTTCTTCACAAGATCTTGGTACTGGTAGTATGCGAAAAGATGATATTGACCACCAGTCGCGTTGAAGCGCAAGTTCACGCTTCCATCGCCCTGGACCTTATCCGTCTGATCCGTAAGAGAATCGCTTCGGAGAACTAGGCGCGTGGAATTCGTCGATGGGGTGCTGAATGTAGTACTTGCTGGATTCTGGATAATTGATGAGGACAAAACCTCTGCTGAAACAAGCGCAACTAGCTCACCGGTACCCCATCCAGGAGCAGTGCCACTGTAGGATCCATTCGCAGGAACACTGGCATTAAATGGCGCCTTTTCCTGTCAGCCCTCAGACCACTCAACATACATGAATACACCCACCAGATCCCAATGCAATCCCTCATCCGTAGTAACAGCCGGAACGCCCTGTCCCTGATTCGGCCCCAACGCAAAATCAAACACCATTCCCGCATCCTTCGCAGCCTTCAACGAAGTCTTCAACATGCGATTAAACGCTGGCGTACCAAACCCATACGTCGCCCAATCAGCACCCTCTGGCGGCGGCGCCAGCGATCCTCCATAGTTATACAGGGGCAGTAGCTGCACGCCTCCGGCTCCTATCGACCCAGCTGATTCGATGTCGCTTTGGACAGTGCTGAAGTCCACGCTCGCATCGGGGAGCCAGTATCGAAATTTCACACGTGCATCGTTGGCCGGGTCTTCGAATGACCCGTAGTCATTCCGTCCTAGGACTGCTGGGACCAGCAGCAGGGTCTCCAACCATGTAAGAGTGCGCATCTCTGTGTCGGTCAACGAAAGGGGTAAAGAATAGGTTTAGCCGTTTTCACGTCAGAGCTAAACTCGCACATGGCGTTCTCGCGGTTTTAATAGAATCAGATAAAACGAAACCGACGAAATAAAGGTTGACTATCCCTGACCTGAATAGGAAAGCGACCATCGATCAGTGGGGAATCCCCGGTTTCTGGCACGTGCTTTTCGTCAGCGCCGGAATTTCCGAAGGTTTCAATAAGCACCAGTGGAGTATATTTAGACCTCCGGAGTGTTTTTCAGTATGCTCGGGGTATTGTCTACCGATTGCCGATTAAATATCTCCTCATTGGTCCTTAAAATATAAACACATCTAGGCTTCATACTCTGCAGCTAGGCAAGGCCAAGTCGGAATGTCCGAATAGTCGTCGTCATAAGTTGACGACGATCTTTTGGCATTAGACCGACGATGTACCGAGAGCAGCCCTCGTACAAACAGGCACCACTATATACGATATAGAGACTAAAGCAGAAGAGTAATATTATCGTTTGCTCTCCACAGACCACTGTCGAGCTCTGGCGCGTTCCTGCGTCCTGACTCAGCGGATGTTGAAACCTTTGTGACTTCCGAGTGGAGACCTTCAATCTCACGAAGTGTCATAAATTTGATCTTCTAGAATTCTGCTGAGCGAGAAACGCCTTAAATCAATACGTTTATGGCATTGAGACAATTTCTGAAGTGTAGTTCATGTCATTACCAAGAACTATCCCGCAAGCTATACACTAAAGAATGTCCGGTTTTTCTCTGGAAAGGAAGCCATCAGTATCCACTAGTTCTCGTTTCTGAATTGTATCTCACAGTATCATCGGCTGTGCAGGATAACGCCCGGTGGGAGCTCGTTGTACGCGGACCCCCAGAAGGAGCTGAGCTGTGCCTGAGCATCGTCTGAGTCACATCCTTATCAGGATTAATCCGTTTGCGGTGTCAATCGTTTTGTACACGTTCTCCCTAGTGTACAGCATAAGACACGTCATGCTCTCTGTCGTAAAGTGTCGCCTTAGAAGCCGGCACAGTTAGACGCTGGGCCCCGTCAGGGGGATACTATTTGGTATCATACTCGGAGTTATTTATGACAGATTCATGCATACCCTTGTGTTTCGTTGTCTGTCGATCGTGGATGGAAAATTTGGTTACCAGCTTGTTAGATTGCAGCAGCCACTGGCAGAAGGGCATATGGGGAGCTTAAATGCAGAGGGATTTGGGACGCAACAAGACTGGTTGGGGCTTCGTGCGGGCTGTGCATCAAGACTCGACTTCGTAGGACAAGGAGGCAGGGGCTATGGTGGGCCATGGAAGGAATAAGCCAAATGGTGTATATGTGCTCTCCTGGGCAGCAGCAGTGAGATGTGCAACGGCTTTCGAAGACTCTTCAACTTGTCACTGAAGGTAATTGGAGGTGTTCACATTTTATTTGCGCGCTCCCTGCATTGTAGATCTCACGGCTGCTTGAGACGTGGATTGCCCACGTTGAAATGCCACACAACACCGCAATCGATATAGGCCAAATGTCCAATACCAAAACACCATAATCGGAGACATATTTGGTTAACTCGATTTCTTCGGAGGACTACGTATACCATGGCAACTGTTTCGTATATACTTTGGATCAGTTAGCATGGCGTTCGCCAAAGCCATTTTCTGTAGACTTTGAAAATAGATTCAGGTACAATGTATGCCTGCAGTGAGAAGAGTAGCCAGTGTCTGTATTCGTTCATTCAACCGTTTTCCGTTGGCTTCTTCCAATATGACACGGAGGATGCGTTGCATGTATATGTGCAGTGGTGACGGAGAATTTCGATAAATTGATATAGATGAATCCGCAGTCATAGCTGTGAGGTCATTTGCTAGTCGATAAGACACACTCTGATAACGCATATTTACATACGGTTCTGTTTGCCCCCTTCCATTATCTGTAAGAACGGACGCTGAGTCGGCAATGTGGTTAGCAGGGACTCCGTGCAGATTCCCAGTCTTCACTGGTTGCCATCTGCTACTTCGTAGCCATGTAACAGAGGTCTATCATTAATTGATGGCCAGGTTCCTTTGCTATTCCGGTCACGAGCGTTGTCTTTATGAAGTCAGAGGCGAGGGAGTCGTCTCTACTCTAGAACTTCTAGGGTGCTAGTGCCATTCAATGCACTTGATATCCACTAGCAGATATCAGAATCAAGTTCTTCTTGTGATGGTATTAGTAGAATATGTACATTCACGAACGCTCCCAAATCTACTCCTAGAAGAGAGGATTGACAGAAGTAAAACTGACAACCTCAGTATACCCAAACAAGAACCGATAAATGACCGATAAAATAAGTTGTACAAACAAGGCTATATATAACACGACGCATCCGGCCTTGACAAAGAAGCATCAAAGAAAATACAAGCAAATCAAGAAAAGATAAATCAACCAGCACCCGTAATCATAAATGCAACCATACCAACCCACACGCCAACAAACAGTGCAGTCAGAATACCAGCACCAGCCTTATCACCCGTAGTAATTTTTTTGAATGACTGGCCGCTGTTATCACCGCCGCCGCTTGAACCAGCATTCGGGTTACTCTTACTGTCACCACCAGTGTCAGAGGTGACGGGGCCCTTGTCACTGGACTCGATGATCAGATTGGACATGAACACGTTCGTAGCGATGATCTGTTCTTCCATTCCGTTCCATCCGTCCCACTTGTGCTGGTACCATCTCACACCGCAGGTGTTGTTACCCATACCAACGCATGAGTCGGCTGCGGCTTCGGCGGATGCCTTGAGTTTCGGCTGAATCTTGTCCTTAGTAGATGGGATGAAAAGAGCGGTATAGGCGAGCCAGGAGGTAACAAGACCCTTGAAGAGGATTTCGTTATTGTTGCACACTTCGAGCGGCTCGCAAGGCTCTTGCATAGTGTTACCACCGAGCTTCTTGGGGAAGAATGTGCTGAAGGTTGTTCCCAAGAAACCGTTGACTCGTTTCAACCACTTGTCGTCACTGGTCTATGTATCGCATCAGTATATGTCCAGAATGGAGAAAGAAGAGCTGCCTTACATAGTTGTACATGTATGCAGAACCCATGATGAAGGTGCCGTAGTTGTAAGACCATTGGTTGTTACCGGGGCTCTTGCAGTTGTCATCGATATCGACGGAATCAGCGATATGCCATGTGTCTTCGTTGAGCAAAGGAGTCGATTCCATCCAATCGTAAATCTTCTCCGCCCAGTCGGCGTAGGTCTGGTTATTCGTATAACGAGCAAGTCGGGCCGAGAGTTGGAACAAAACACCGTTCGAAATTGTGTTCTTCATGGCATAACCGGCTTGGTAGGTGAAAAGCTGCCACCGCAATCCACCACCGCACGACGTCGTATCCCATCGGTCAATCTGCGTGTTGAAAACACCCTGCGCCAAAGACAACCACGAAAATCCATCTTCAACATCGGGGAATTGCAGCTCTGCCGCAAGCATCGCGGTCAGACCCCAGAAGCCCTGGTCATCATTTCCCTACAACTATGTGTCAAAATGTCTCCACGAGAAGTCGTCCAGGAGTTATTGCGCCTTACCAGGTAGGTACTGTAGTTAGACGGCATGTAATCTCCCCCATCACCAGACTGATGCTCCAATCCCTGACTGGTCTCGGAATTGTATGTCGTGTCGCCGGTGTACTTCCAATATTGTAGCGCGGCCATGAACAGGGCTGAACCTTCCCACCATTTCTCGGGGAATGAACCAGGAATCTGACCGGTCTCGTTACCGGCATACCACATGAACATTCCATGTGCGGCCTGTTCGGCGGCGCTTTTGACAGATTCTGTGGCGATAGTAAAATGTCAGCTTTCCGCTACAATCGCATAGCACAGAAAGGAAAGGCGACTAACCATCATCGTCAATGCTCAGCTCGAGGGCATGCGATATCCCCGCCTGGAGGAATGCACCCCATATTGTTAACCAATAAAACCAATTCATAATTTTCCGGAGTCCAGATCTATAGCGCGATGCCAAGATCAGAGCAATACATCAACGAAGAATGTACTGCTGCAAGGTACACGATATGCGATGCAGTTTTAAGATGTCATTCAAAAGCGTGTCGGAGAGTTGGAGAGAAAATGCGCGAGGTTACCTGCTGCGGAGCCGCCCCTTATCCCTGACACGCCCGACGTTCACTCACTTGCCGTTTTCAGTCACAGAACCTGTCGCACGTGATCATACAAAAATAGGTAGATGTCATCATTGGCGGAGATGGGGGTCATCCATTGGTCGAGGTGGAAACAAGCACCAGGGACCAAAAGGCTTATTGGCTGTTGGCGGGGCCCCACCAGGCTGACGCGGACTAAGCGGGCCCAAAAGGGCGCGATCGTCGACCCTGTCCGGATCAATCCTTGGTCCGCTCAGCCGCAACCGGGGTTCTCGTTCCGCAAACGGTAACTGGGTTTACGAGTCAGGTGAGATCAGGTGAGATCAGGTGATGTCAGGTGATGTCAGGTGTCCACCGGTAGAAAATTCTTTAGATCCCGAGGCAAAGTGGCGCCGTTGAGTGCCTCCGGGTAATCGTCGTTCTAGATTGATATGCTTTTTGCCTTTGGGAAATCAGTGCCTTGGTTTACATGACAGAAGTGGCGGCCTCAAGATGTGTTGCTTTGTCTCCTGTCAATACTCGAACTAACTGCCCAATCCACGGAATATCTTTACCATAGTAGATAACAGCAGAGATCTTAGGGTCTCATGTGCGTTTAGATCGATCAGTGAAGATCTCCAAGCTCATGTGTGCTGTCAGATATCGCCGTCAGGAAATAAACGGCTGTATTCTATACCAATGCACAGCTGAGCGCGCATTCAACAATCCATGGGACAACCTTAATTTATCTTTCTAAGCTTACTGGTAAATACTCCAATAGGCTCAGCCAAGCCTCAAATATATCTCCAGGTGACTTTAGTGGCCGAATATCTTTCCGAGACCACTCTGCATGACATTCCAGGTCGAGATACTATTGATTACGGTACACCCGCTGTCACCACATCGAGATTATTTATTCCTCAATACTTTAACTCGTACAGTAATTCTCCAGCAGTAAGACAACTCCAAATCAGATATCATATTGATTGTGGGGCTCCACACGAACGGTGGGG